TGCCTGGAGGGGTGCGAGAGGAAGGGCAGAAGGGGGGGGGGGGGGGGCGCAGCCACCCTTATCGATGGTCTGGAGGGTGGCAGGCGGCCAGGGGAGCCAAGCCGAGCCGCATCGAGCGGACCGAGCCGAGCCGAGCGGGAGCTCCGAGCCGAAGCCCTCCGCCACCTCTGTTAGTGTTCGCCCCGAGCCCGACGCGCCCTGAGCTGACCGGAGCCGTGCTTGGCCTCCCGACCCCATGGCCCGAGCGCGCCCCCCGAGCTGCTGCTCACGGCCGGCCATGTCCTCCAGCAGGTGAGTCGTCTTCGTCGTTCCTGTCGCCGACGAGCGCCCCCGGGTAGACGCTGTGCAGCCCGAACGCGGGCCCTGGCAGAGAAGAGCTTTGAGCGTCGGGGCGGGGCGCCTCGTTCCCTCGGCCTTCACCGTCGCGACCACGCTCGGGTCAGCTGATGCTGCGGGGGCTGGCGACGCTCGCGGCCGAGGACCACAACACGCGGGCGCGGCGACACTGTCCAGTGGGAGGTATCGTTCTCGACGGGGTCCGCGTGCCCCGGGGCCCCCGAGATTACAGAAGCCACGTCGCCGTCGCAGTGCCCGGTGCTCTGCGCCTCGGACGCACGCACGCCCCGAACGTGACGGCACGCGCACTAGCTCCCCAGGACGCTTGCTCACGTGCGGTGAAATATGTACCGCGCGCTGACTGTGGCCGCCGAACTAACGGACACAACCACAACGACCACCAGGTCGGCCACCGGGACTAGGACCGGACCACATCGCCGTGGCCTCTATTTACATTGTGGGGTCAGGTCGGGCGTGGGCGAACGTGTGCGTGAGTGTGGGTGTGGGTGGGGGGCAGACTGGTTAGTTGGGGCGGGGGCTCCGGACAATGCTCCTGGCCGGGCTGCACCGGTGGGTCGGGTCGGGCCCTCGCTGAGGGCGGAGGGGTGCATTGAGACACACCTCCTCGTCGTGGGGGTCGCCGCAGGGGCTCGCTGCCCCGCAGCCTTGCGTGCGCCCAAGACATTCGTTGTTGTGGCCTGTCTCGGCTCGGCCACGGCAGAGGGGCTGCCCCTGCTGCCGCTGTCGGGTACGCCATCATTAACCGCTCGTTGGAGCTTCGCAAAGGAGAGCGAATGAGCGAGAGAGAGAGAGAGCGAGAGAGAGAGAAAGCGCCTAGTGACAAAGGGGGCGCGACTGCACGGCGCACTGCGCCAGTGAGAGGTTATGTCGCCCTGTGTCGCAAGGGGGTGGTGGTGGGGTGGTGGTCGGGTGGTGGTGGGTTGGGGGGTGGTTCTCAGCGGGTTGGCTCAGGCACGCCAAGACGATCGCACTCCCCGCTAGCGCTGCGCTTGGCACAATACTTTCTATATGGTTGGTGACAAATTATTCGTCTATCAACTTATGCTCCGGTCTGATGCGACTGCTGAGGCCTGCGGTGCGTCGTCGCCAGCCCCAACCCCCGGGGACAGACACCGACACTACACACCGCGGCCTGTCCGGCCAAACGAGCCGGAGAAACCGCTTCCTCATGGCGGTCGGAGCCGTACGGGCCAGCAGAGCGATTAGCAAGGGTGACAGGCGGCTTGTGGGCGAGCGAGGACACGAGCCCGGCACCCTTATCAAAGAGTCACTGCTGCGCCCGAGCGACGCCTCGCCCCGCCTCGCCCCGCTCCGTCACACCCCGCTCCGCCACTCCACGAAGAGTTAAACGGCCGGACACCCAACGGACGGGTGCTTGAAGCGGCCGGAGCGAGCTGAGCGCCGTGAGCGTAGGCAGACCCGGCCACCGCGGCTGTCCGACCGCGCCGAGCGTTGCCTAACCCGCAGGCGGCGAGGCGAGCCGCGCCCGCGTGCTCGTGCCTTGCCTGCCAACCGCACGACCGCTGCGGCCCGGGGGCACCCGGGGCAGGGGTGGCCCCTTCCTTTTGTTGTTCCCGGAACGTACTCGGGTAAAGGGTAGGGGTAGGAGACGGTGACTCGCGGGCGGGGCGGGCGCGGTGTGGGCACGACGGTGACGGTGGGAAAGAAAAGGAAGCAGGTTTCTGCGGAGGAGGAGGAGGGAACGAGCAGCGCACATTAAGTGCAGAACAATGGGGAAACCAAACCCCGACGAGAGGGGACAGGAAAGGGAGGAAAAGGGGGCGCCGAGTTTGCTAAAACTCGCCGGTCGGAAGCCGCTCGCTGAAACAGCCAGCGAACCCCCCGTCTTTTGTTCTCGCAGTGCGACCTGGTCACTGACCTCTGTGCCCTTCTTGTGCTTTGTTGCAGGTGTCTGGCGCTGCTGGGGCTGGGGTCGGTCGTCCGGGGGAGCGAAGATGGCAGTCTGTGAAGCGGTCGCTGCAAGGTGGGTTCTCCTCGTTTGTGAAGTGTCGGGTCTCGGCTCGGAGCTGGGAGCACTGTTGTGCAATTTCATCATCCCTGGACTGGAAGCTCATCGACTCCAAGAGGGAGGTGTGGTAGGTTACGGTGGTGGAAGGGGCTGCAAATCCATTTCAACATCAGAAATGTGCCAGAGCGCATCTCGTAAACCTTAAAATGCGTAGAGTTGTCTACTACTATTTGTACTATTAAGAGTAACATTACAAACATTTCGCAATAAGCCGAAAAGCGACCATATTCTTGTCGTGTGCAGTTGCGACACTCACACACATCATTTCGCCGAGTTCAGTGAGGGTGGGGCAGTGGAGTGCACTGTGCCAAGTGTCGGGTGCGGTGAATCTCAGTCCGGGTCGAATCCTCTCCAAGCCGTCCGGTGGAGCGGCACGGAGCGCGGGGCCGTGGCGCCGAGGGGAGGGGCGGGGTTGAGAGCCCCTCGCCACCTCACTCCCTCGCCCCTCGCTTCCAGAGAAGTCGAGCAAAGTACTAAGTATACACATTTGTGCGGCGAGTGAGTGAGGGGGGCGATCGAATTCAATCCATGAGACCCTTCCCTGTCTCTTTCCTTCCACGACATACGTACGGGACGGGAGCACCGGTCTCACCGACCCCCCTCTCTGTCTATTTCACCCTGTTTCTTATTTTCTCCACCCTCTTCCATCACACCTAAACTGTTTCCAGTATTTTCGCCGACGGGAGCGAAAGAAACGAGGGAAGCGGGGGGGGG